TGGTTGCGAGGGACATCACGGTGTGGCGCGACCACTTGGACGACGTTCAGATCAAGCACATCCCCTCCCGCTTGCAGAGCCTGATCCGCAGCTTCGAAGCCACTGGCGCCAGGATATTGGACGCCTGCGCCATGAGTCAATGGGTACACACATAGTTCGTTTCTAATTGATTATTCGAAAGTTCTTTGATTTTTTGGGGCCAAGATCCTTTCATTTCTAATTGTTCTATCCTGGGCCTCTCCCTGGCCACTAGGGGGCCAGGAACAATTAGAAACGAGCACAATTGAAATGAGCACGCTTAGATGAACGACGTGTACAGTTGAAAGAGCGCGCGCGGACGCTTCGGGAGGAGACCGCCGGCTGGGCTCCGAGGACTCTGCCGGCCGCCGCGGGATCGGCGTGCGCAGGGCGGCCGGGGAAGCAGCGGCGGCGCCGACCAGCCGGAGCCCGCCCAGACCGCTGGCAACAGGCACCGCATACAGTCGGCCCAGACTAGTAGGTCGACCCTGCCAAATCAAGGGTACCCTTGTGTCCTGCGTTTTGCGACCCATGCCCTCTGCATTCATATGGCAATGTGGCCCTTGTGTCCTTTCGCTTATCCTCCTCAGCCAAACTCGACTGTAACATAATGGTCGGAGGCAGCTTGGGACGAGTGGTTGGCCGCTGTCCGCGGGCGCCGCGGCGTGGCAGGCGACGCGCCCCCGCCACGCTCCAGCGAGATGCAGGCGGTAGAAGTGGACGCAATCGCCAAGCAGTTGGGCAGCGGCCGCAGCGCCACGGGCATGAGAACGCGCTACCGGAGTGTGGACCCCGAGTGCGCGTGACCTGATCCTCCGGCCGAGGTGAAGGAGCACAAGCGAGGAGTCATCCGGGGAATGACGCAAGCGGCGATGCAGCAGTTGGGCGGCCAGGCCACTGTCTCTGAGGTGCTCGAGTGTTGTCGGTCGCACCTTGCCCTGAGAAAGCAATCTGGGGAGCGCCTCAACCACCGCCAGACGAAGGCGGGTGGCACCGAAATCGTTGAGCATTGGGAGGCCACGATCATCAGAAGGGCCACTCAGCTCTTCAGAGCGACTGGCTTGAAGGAGGGGAGGAGAGCCATTTGGAAGATCGCACCGGCTCAAGAAAACACTTGCCCTCCCCATCCCCGTCCTCCTCTCCCTCCTCCTCCTTCCCCTCCTCCTCGAAATTCGAGTCTGCGGACTGTGCCATCGATTCGTCGACGCCCTCGCCCTCTTCCTCCTCTCCCTCCTCCTCCTCCTCCTCCTCCTCCTCCTCCTCCTCCTCCTCCTCCTCCTCCTCCTCCTCCTCCTCCTCTTGGTACGGTCGCTCCTCCTCCTCCTCCTCCTCCTCCTCCTCCTCTTCCTCCATTGCCATTTTGTCTCAAGATGGGAACAGGTCCCATGTGGGCGGGCAGCTTTCTTCGGAAGGCGATCTGCGTGTCGTGCGCAGGCGGGCGCCCCCCTTCTCTTTTGTGCCAGTTTCCGACTGTGCCATGGTCGACGTCTCCTAGGGTACTGAAGCGACTGGCGCTGAACCACCTTCCAAGAGCTCCATGACAGAAGACGGCGGCATCATGGCAAATCTCTCGCATGGAAAGCAACATGTGCACCAAGGTCGACATCCAGGGGCTTCGCTCTGACCTTGGTTGTCCTGGGGAGGCAGATCGAGCTCATTGCGCGCGTCGAGAGTAACATTTTGCCGAGTACGGCTTCTACGGCTTCGTTGCCATCAACTCCACCCGCTTCGGCGGGGTTATCCTCCTCAGTATCGAATCGTGGATCCAACTGGAAAGGCAAAGGCAAAGTCAAAGGCAAAGGCTTATTTTTGCATCGTGGATCGGGGCATAGTGGTTCTCAGATGGCAGTGACTGGACGTGGGCAGTTCAGGATGACGGTGCTGATCCCGCCAAGGTGTGGATTAGTGGATTATTTGAGCCTTTGCTCGGCCGCGTCATGACCCAGTACTGCCAGAACTGCATCGCGCCCAACTTAACTTCTCATACCTCGGTGCTGTCAAGATTCAGGCCCACAACCTGAAGAAGGCTTTCTCGATCAACTTTGCGTCGGCCACGGAGGCCAAAGTTTTCCGCCGAGTACGTGGAACCTACGCAAGGAGGGGCGCCAACGCCGACATTCGACGGAAGAACAGGATCCTCGGACGTGTATGGCAATGCGTGCGCGCACACACCATCGCAGCAATACCCTCCAGGACCGGTGCACGCTCGGAGTGAATGGCTGCGAGGGCATGCTCTTCTGGACCCATAGCGAGCGCGTCGTATTCTTGTCGTGCCCACCGAGGACGCGGACCTGGCCCCTGCGCAATCTCCTGTGCTGTCAGTGTTGGAAGCGGTCGGCATGTCGCAGCAGCAGGTCAAAGATATGCTCAATGCCGCCGCCGAATAGGACATTATCTCGCTTTTCCCGCCGTCTCTCAGAGTATCGGCCCGTGTGGGCGCCTTCCTGTCGTGCTGGCAGAGGGTCTGCGGCCGCGAGGTTCA